ACCACAGTGTACGGAATTACAGTTTTCGCGCGCGAATTGCTTGGATCGTTCACGTTTATTCCGAAATATGTAACGTGTAGTAATATTGATATACGAGATACATCTCATGTACATGCAAATTCTAGAAGTACATTCCAATTTTGAATTTATTATAGCAATAAATGACAACGACAGAATTTCGTAATGTATAGTTTCCGTGAAAATTTCATAATTTATATAGAGAAATTATAAATAATAAATATACACAATTTACAATATATTAACCAATACTCACTCCAAATCAGCTGATTCTTTTAGATCAAATAAATATTCACGAGTACTTGTAGTGTCTGCATTAAATCAGAAACTAAACGCACCATAGTTATTATATATAGCGCTCTTTCTTTGTTTGAAATCATATTGTACGAATATTTTATCCACAATATATTGCCGTATATTTCATGCACGCAATAAAAAACCGTATACACTGCAGACAAAGAATATTTATAACTTGAAAAGAAAGAATCCTTTTTTAAAAACGACCATGTGGCGCCTTTCAGCTTCAAAATGAGCAAATGCGTGAATGTGTGAAAAATATGGGAAGAGAATACTTTTCAAAGTTAAATCTATTTCAAAGACAATTTACATTCTTTATGTATCATTGAATAAGTGCGAAATTTAGTTATTACAGAGGAACAAAAATATAATAGAACATACGGTAGTATCAACACATCTGTTTTTATTTTACTGTTGGTGAGTCCGTTCTAATGATCAAAATTGTCTATTTGTAAACAAACTTGTTTTTGCGTACGTTTACCTGTAAAACAGATAATTAATCTACCGTTTTTCATTAATCAGTGCAATGTGTATTGCAAAAAAATTGAATCATCGTACTGTAGGTTAGAACTTGTAAACAAGATTTTTAATTAAACGCGTGGTTTTTTCGTATTACAGTCGTGCTTAAGTGACCTACTACATATATTACACGTAAACATGTACAACATTTCACATCTCAATGAAGAAAGATAACGCTGTATATCAAGTAAATATATACGGAATTTATTTTTATTTTTTTTTCTTATAATTAATCTACATAATATAATATTATTACTTTGTGAAAAAAAATACAAACTGCTAAATTGAAAAATTCCTAAACAAATTTAATTAAAATAAAAGAAATACTTCAAGAAAATATTTTGTAAATTAACTACTCTGCGGAGTTTGTAAATAAAATAAATTTATGTTTAAAATCAGAATTTAATCCAGAATAACACAAATATAACATGAATAATACAAAAAAAGATTATAGATTAAAACAAATTTTTTTTGAGCATATTTTAATTTAACGACTCTAACTAGTTTTTCAAGTGCATTAAAGAAAATTGTTTGATAAGGTTAATTATATAAATTCGCTTTAATTATCCGTACGTATTAAATTTCTCATGCAAATCTTTTAAATGAAGAAAGACATGCAAAGCGCCAGTAAAATAATGATAAAATTACGCTGGTTTGTATGGTTTTGTAATCCAAAAAAGAAGAATAGTTTGTTAAATTTTTGTGCGCTAAATCTTAATCCGCATGCAAAAAATCTTCTGGTACGTCAGATTAAAAAAAATGGGATTCAAATTCCTAAAAAATGCATTTTTATGACTTTTTTTTTGAAAACTTTTAGCTAATAAATTTGATGTGTTACAGACATCAAAAAGAATTAAAATTAAAGTTTGAATATTTTGTATTTATGATAAAAGTGATATAATTATATTTTTAATGCAAGCATCATTAAATCTCAAACGTGCTTTATTTAAAGAGAATTGCAAGGGCATTCAATGATGTCTGGAAAACTATTACTGATTCTTTTTTCAACAAATGAAACGTTGATTCACAATAAAATTTAATGAGAAAATTTTATATTACATGGATTTGTCATAATTTTTCAGTAAAGTACAATGTAACAAGTTCTTCTTTTATTATTATTTCTTACAATTTTTATTAACAATAATAGTTTAACAAAGAAAAAAAAGAATTTTTTGTAATCACATTTTAATCCCATTTATGAAATCCATACTTGACATTTTCCTATGTTCAACAATTTCGTAGTGTGCTTGAATAGAGCAATCATTTTCCTGTAATCGTTTGCTGTACGTGCCTAAAAATAAATCACGTAGAGATACGATGATACCTGCGGTAAAAAAGTCAATATTTTTATATTTTCAAAGCACAATACTCGAGCTTTAATTTGAAATCTCTTTTTGAAATCTCTACAATGTCGGATTTATTTTTTAATATAGCTTAAAATCCATTTTTGAAGAGCTTTAACACCATTTTTCTCTAAAAATTAAAGCTATAGAACATTTTTACTTGCAGATTCGGATTGAGCGCACAAAAAACTTTAATAAACTACTTCTCTTTTTCAAAAACACTTAAAATATAGATATAGACAATATTTATTCATATATATGAATATATTTTGTTCGTATGTACATATATTGAATATTTTATTTTGTATATATACATATATATATATATATATATATATATATGCAAAAGCTATTTAATAATTAAAATAAATATAAAGCTATCTTTTTAAGTTAATGAATTTGTACACAAATAAAAAAAATAATTGCAACACTTCTACGAATTTTTTAAATACTCACTTGTTTTAATGAACAACTTTTTGACTTCATGTGTAAGTACTACAACTTACATGTACAGTTTTAATTTATTTAAAACGTTTTCTATTTTGATGCATTTTTTTTCAGCAGTGCATTTTCTGCACTGCAGAGCTTTATAAATATCTAGTACACTTGTGTGACATGTCAGTCTTTCTTAGTACCATTCGGTAACTGGAAAGTGTTAATTAAATTGTTGCAATCTACAAATGCAAGTAGCTACTTTGCATAAGCAACTTCGACGCAAAGTTTTGAAACTTACTTATATATATGCACATACGAGAAAATGCGATGGAGTTTCATTCTGCCAACAAAGATACGTTCTTTATCAACGCTATGCATCGATTTTAGCAATTTTTGTACAATATAACAACAAAATATCAATTGCCAGATTACTCACAGAAGATAGAAAACGATAAAATGAATAGGGTATAAAATGCTAACTCAACTTTTATATGAGAAACGCTTTTCCTCATTTTGTCCGCTATAATCCGTTATAACTATAATATTTTTGTTATAATATATAACTGATATATCATAAAAGTGAAAATCAATTTGCAAATGATATTAATGGATTAAAATAAGAAGGATTTAGTAAAGCGCTATATAAAAGAATTATAATTGAAATAAAAGAATATTGACTGAAATATCAATTACGTTTAACCCTCTCATTATACATTTAACATATTAATTTAACATATCAAAAGTCAATACATAATTTCAATATTAAGTTAAATTTTATTCTGTTATTTTAAAAGAAAATGAATAACTTATAAATTTCACTTTTAAATAAAAATTCAATGTCGAAGCTAAAAATTTAAGTTAGGAAGAAAAATATCATTCACTTTAATTTTCATTAAAAAATTCATTTTGTTCAAAACATCTGTGAATAGCCCATATAATTTTAAAATTTTCCATGTAAAAGTGGTCCACACTTTGATATTTATCATGCGTCTGTTCATGATTTACTTCCGTTATAAATCGTCCGCTATTTGTCATCTTCGATGCCGATGGTTTTTCACCGAAACAACTCGCTGACAACTCATGCGCGTTCTCGATTTACAGAATCAAATAATCCGAATACGTAGAAATGATTTATTATAATACACGCATTCGACGCTCGTATATAATCGCGGTTTATTGTATTGCTGACTAAATCGAAATTTGGAATGTGTGAACGTGCATAAAAGCGCGTGGCTTTCACACGTCGGACAGCCGCATTAAATTGCAAATGCTTTTTTTTTTCATTTATTATTTTTTTTTAAATCTCTTCGCACCTATATGAATTCTATTTGGATCTACTCGCGACTAGATCGATGGAACAATCTGCGATCGAATGTTATAAATTCTAACGTTAATTTAAATTCATCGATCATTAGCATCATTCATCTTCATCTAAATAAATTATTTGTTTTGTTATGTAAATTGGAAATCAATTAATTCTTATGTTCTCATTTTCCGTATCATGTTGGATATATCAATTATTCATTATTTTCATAACAGAAGACAGTCTTTTTTTTTAGATAAAGTAGAATTTATGTATTAATTATTTTTGAGAAATACGAATAAAATTTGAAGAAATTAATTTATCAGTACTATATTAACAAAATTTTCAGTACGAAATATACCATACGAAATACTGTTTGAGAAACACTGATCTACAGGAATTGCGATTCGTATAGAGACATTGGATATGCGAACGGAATGTAAATATGGAAATTAATCTTCTGAAATGTACGCATATCGGAAACCGTAACCGCATTGAGGAAGCGGTCAACTCCTATAAAAGCCTGGAAGCCATTTTACGAAAATAATAGTCACTCGATAACCGTGAATCTATGTGTTCTTCGAGCTTGTATAACAAATGTGACTACTAATATAGCATACTATCACTTAAATATGTTATTTCGCGAATACATATTCTACGCTGGTAAGAGCCGACTATTTTACTTTGCTTTTAATCGCATTTTAAATAACGAGAATAGATAAATATGCCAAAATTGTGCTGCAAGCGAGGCATCTAAATCGCATTAATTCTCAGACAATGAAATCACTAAAAAATAATGTTAAAAAACATTATGTGTTTATGCTCCAGTTTTAGCATAAAATTATTGTTACAAGTTGTTCTCGCTTCTCGAGAGTTATAATTTTTGTATTTAGAAACAGTCATGTAAATACGTCGTCGCGTGTGTAAAGACCGCCGCTTTCATTTCTCAAAGTAATGCCTCAAACCGACTCTCAGTGTTGAGACGTATCTCACTGAAGATGTATTTCGCGACTGTTACTCCTTTCGCCGCCGCGAACAAAGTTGTAAGTGGCTCTTTCTCTCTGATGTCGTAACTTTTGACTTACCCTCCACGAAGAGGAAGTATCCCTCGGGATTGTTCGCCAGTATCCGAAGCGCCTTAATCGCCATCTCAGCTAGAGAAGGATCGCCGGTGTCGTTCGTGTTCCGGTCGACGTTGAAGTCCATGTGAGAATAGGCGAAGAGTCCTGCGGCGAAGAAAATAAGTCTTGGCAAGTAATCCGATCGTGTTACATGAAAACAAGTTTGAAACCGTATGGACAAATATAAAAAAATGTAAAAGGTATTAAAACTGAAATGCCACACAAAATATAAATAAATAAATATATATAAAATATTAAGAACGAGAAATAGAAAATAAATCATTATGCAATTGCAGAATTTGTAAAATCTACAATGAATTATTTTAAGAAAAATAAAAATAAAAATACCCGACCATAATCATTTATAAAAAACGACCAAAACACATATTTACATTATTTATATTCTTCATATTATTTATAGATTTACATTTTGTTATTTTGCCGTTTTGTTGCTCGTTAATTCATGACGATTTATACTTTGTCCCTTATAATTTACAATATCTATTAAAATTTATTTCGGATGTATATATATTTGTTTTGAGTTATCATGCTTTTCACAAATTATTGTTAAATAACATTAATTGATTACAACGCAACAATAATTCAAAATTTCACTCTATTGATCAACAGTTAACTATCTTATTAGCTAGATACACAGAGAAATTATCAATAGCAATCGATAGGCACGTGTAATCTCATATTCCGAGTGATGAATGTATAATAATTAATACACTGATTACGAGAGTGACAATAGCGTGCAATTAATACAATACAACGGCTAATCGCATCACGCCCAAGTACAAATGATCGATGAAACTATATTCTTGTAAGTCAAATCATGCATTCTATGAATTTAAGGTTTATAATTTAACATGCATTTTCAATGTAAATTAAATCATTAACAAACAATTATGCAACAAGCCGTTATTAGTATTATAATAAAGCAAATATTAAACATTATTAAATTTTTCTATTTTAATGTGAAAATATTATGTCATGCGATAAAAAGTTTAAAATTAATTTAATCATCAAATCTATTAATTAAATAAGTAAAGCAATAAAAAATAAAAATCGGATAGTGGTCAAAAGAACACATAGATATTAAAAATACTCATAAAATTTGCAATATATAATATAATATAACACAATATAAAAGTTCAATTCTGTAATTAAAATTGCCAAATTTTTGGAATAAAATATTGCACTACAAACACATCGGAAAAAACAAGAGTTTATAAAATAAAAGCTCTCTCAGTTATTTTTGTATAGGATTCTATACAAAAACCAAACTAAAACAACCAAATTAAAACAATTTTTTTACGACTTGAACAGGATATAGTGCATAATTAATTTAATAACGAACGGAATTCAAAATTAGCTAATACAGCATATTCCAACATGATTAAATTCCAATGTGATTGACTAACCATGTATATAATTTTATTAGGATATTCTAAATCGAAATTATATTATTTACATGATCAATTAGGGTAATCAAGATTATCCAATAAACAATGTGATTTTTCAACAGAATAATATAAATAATTATCAAGATAATTAATAATGTTGAAGTATTTATTTGTACTAATGAATAGAAAATGTTTAAAATATTTTAGAAGAATTTAATAGTTGATCATAGCATTTGAAATCATAACATATCTCATTCAATAGTCTCCTTGCTTCAATCTAATAATAATTAATAATTAATTTTTATATAATGTGTTATAATGTGTCATGGCCCAAAAAGCAGTAATTAAATCCTATATTAAATTTTATAAAGATATTATATTAAAACTTATTATTACTTACCTAATAAGCGATTAACTCTTCGCGTGTCCACCTTTTCAAACTGTTCCTTATTAGCGACGTATTTTGCGGTTATGTTTCTTTTACGATGATTCCTGGACCACTCTTCAATAAGATTTCTACCATCCAACCTTCTGCCTTCTTTTTCCGGCTCTTCGGGGTCTAAAGTCACCTTCGGTACAAAATGGCGTCTCCCACCACCAAGTATCACCTATATCGATTAATTAAGATGAAAATAACGTAATATTATTATAATGTACAGTTGTTATATATAATTTTTAATTTGATAAGAATCAATCAAACTTAAGAGGTTAAATTTTTCCGAATTCATTGTTTTGTTTGATAGGATCCTCCGTCGAATCGAGAGACTTAAATTTACCAGAAACGCCGTATTCCTCGATCTCTGATTCTATCTTCGTGATAAGACACGAAGAACCGACTTTAATGAGAAAGAAAGTTTCACCTCAACTTTTCCGGGAAGATGAGCACCAATAAAATTGCCCGCGGAGTTCCTTGCTTCGTTCAGACTTCGAAGCAAAGATTTTTTTCAAAAATAGCACACCACAAATTATTCCAAAGGTAGGATCATTAATTAATCCTGTCGAGCTTAATTTGTCCATTAGAATGCACTTTTTCATCGTCACTTTTTTAAATATCTAAACATTTAATTATTTAATATTTTATTTAAAATATAGAACGTGATATGCCTTTTCAGATATAATTAGCCAATATTTTTAATTCCTTAGAAAAATATGTTTACTGTAAAAAGTTCAGAGATTTTTCTCTTACAAAAAATAATACTTTTAAATAGTTCAGGTTAGCAATCTATTCTCTGTTCGTTTCGCTGGTTTGATTGGAAGAGAAAGGGGCAGAACAAGAGCTACGTGATAAAAGACGTGAATAAACTGCGAAACATACGTTTTATGTCTACCGACACAAGATAGAAGGCGCAATAAAACGTGATAAAGGAGACGAACGAGTCCCCGATACGAATTTTATGTTCACTCGTATGCAAGAACGAATCATACTGTGAAAAACTTCTATACGTCATCTGACGAATGTAATCGTATCAGACAGGCGTTACATTTTCGATTGTCGAACCTTTCAACTTTTCGCAGATCAGGCAATAGAACATCTAAACACTTTTTTCAATTTTATCGCAATGTGAGACTCGTATTCGTTTCGCACGAAATGATTTCATTAAAAATTCTGTTCATTAATTTCACTTAAAATATTTACACGAAATGTTATTATTTAATTCAATTTGCGTGAAAAGCTCACAGTAAAAGTAATATCGGTCAAATCTTATGTTGTTTGAAATAATAAATCGTAATGTAATATCGAGATACTCGCAATTGTTAAAAAATTTTGTAAAACGCTACATAAAAAGAACGGTTTTGCTGAAATATCTAAAAATGTAGCTAGATACAGATCTGTAAAAATAATTTTATCGGAATATAAAAATAATTATGCTCAAGTTGGTTACTAAAATGGCAAAACTTCTTACAGCATTGTTTGAGATTCCTATGTAATTATTTTGATAGTACAAACTTATTTTCAGATCTATATATCTAATTAAATTTTTAAATAGATACTTCAGCAAAATTGTTTTTTTTTCCAAATATAAGATAATAGTATAATAATGTAATCTGAATTACAATTGTAAGTACGACGCGTAGAATAAAAATAATAAAATGTGAGTAATAAGGCAGAAATCATCTCTTTTCGAATAGAGATGTTACCTAACTACACCCGGAGGAATATATTCATCGAACTTACATAAGGTGTAACAAATTATCGAATATTCTCCACACATGAACAGAAGGATATTATTACGTACAGTAATGTTACAGCCAGGCTCGTCCTCAAGCAGCTGACGCGCAATGTCTTTGCAAGAGGTACGTGCAGCAGGTGGCACTTTGCCGTCGTCCTCCCAGTAACGGCTGGCCGCGTGTGCATAAAGAGCCGCTGGTGTCGCGTGTGTAACCCTGGTGGTTGTAACCAGCCCCGTCGATTTGCCTGCGATCAAAAAAAACCCTATTATTGTCTTCTCGCGGTGAATTTTTCTCGTTTCCTTTCTCTCGCCCTCTTCATCTTTTTGTACGATTTCCTCTCTCTCTCTCTCTCTCTCTCTCTCTCTTCTCTTCTTGTTCTCCACCGGTAAAGTTTGCGACTTGTACGTGCTTTCGTAAATCACCCTTTCGGATCCTCGCAGTCGTTCGTATCCGCATCTGACTTTATCGCGTTTAAGCGGGCCAAGCGTGCACCGTCACCGACGTAGACCCGGAAGACAAATTCCCCGAGTAGTGACCCCCGAGGCGAATCAGTACGATTTATACTTCATTGGGGGTGAAGTGGATTTTAGAATGTCGAACTGAGCAGGGGATAGAGCCGTACGGGGATTATTACCGGCGAGGTCGGCCGATGTATTATTCAGGGAAACGTCGAATTGACTGTATCGTATTTTAACTACGATGCGGTTACACTAAATTACTTATTCTCAAGTGTAAATAAACGTTAATGACAATCTGAATCTTTCAAAATTTTGGGATTAATTTCTCTCTTAAAAAATATTTAACGTTCTGCGGTTGTATACGGAGTACATATAAAATGATTTCTAAATATAACTTAAAATTACCATAATATTCTCTTATTTTCTCTCCCCCCCCCCTCCCTCATGATTATAAAAATAAATCCTTTCAAAATCTAAATTCGCATTAAGACAATATTTCAAATATATAGTTTCATTTTCAAAAAATAAGGATATGACTAAATGTAATATTCATTATGGCAGATATTTTTTTAATCGTTCTTTTGACATTCACAAATGTACTATCTTCATATTATAGATATAATAACACTGGTTTACAAAATTTTGTACAAAAATATATAGACTGTTCGACGTAGAATCTGCCATCAAAATATTTCAGAACCAATAAGATTTAAGACTTTTTTTAAACAAATATAGAAAGTTTTAAATTAAAATAAAGTGTTAATCATTTAATTTTTGTTTTTCATATTATTTTAGATTGATTTTACATACACGGACAGAATTTTTTTTTTAAATATATCTTAAAAATATGTAGTTGTGGTACAATACATATTTTAAAGATTTGTACCATGCACTTCAGTAAAATTGATCAAACTTATTTTATACTTTATTGTAATTATATTAATGGATGAGAGAGATTTACATTAAAATTTTTCGAAATACAATGTTCTCCCACGACTATCATATTTTCAGGGTAAACTCTAAAAAAAATTCTCTCCGTGTATTAGAGTCAGCAGTTACTATAGAATGTTTTCATCTTGATAACTTTTTTCAATTATCATCAAATCTTAGTAGAAATATTTGCTTCGTTCATCACTTATCGCACTCAATTTATTTGGAAAAAATGTTATATCTTAAAAATAACGTGTTAAATCTAAAAATTAATACGCTATATCTTAAAAATTCGATTTGATGCTATAGAATTTTTCTGGAAGCAAATTCAAATTTAGTGGTCTAAATTACGTTTATAAAAGTTATTTTCTTTTCTTGTACTAAAAATTATTCAGAGTTTATAAATTAGTGTAATTGAATTTTATTGATTAAAGTAGAGCAAAGTTACGTTTGAAGCCTCTGGCCACGATCAGAGAATTGAAATTACAAAGGGTCGCTCGACCCAGAGATCGTATGTTAATTACACAAGCATTCACAATAATCTTGCCAGCCGACGGAGATTTCGTTTAACGTGAACGGGCTAAGAAATTAACTTGGCACGCAGAGCTTATGCAACGTGTGCAGTCCTCTACTAGGATCAGTAATTAGAGGAGTGCAGGCTGCAGCATAGGTGGCTCGATGTTAATCGACCCGAGTGTGTCGATGCATGGTTCTTCATTAAAGATCCGCCGAGAGTCTCTTTGATCTCGATATTCCTACTCGAAATTATCACTGCGTGATCTCGTTTAATTCATGACTTTATTTGTCGATCACACAAAACACGAAATTGTCAATGGCAATTTGGAAATTAATATCAATTTTAGACTTGAAAAAAATATGCTGCAGCATTACGAATAATTTGAAGAAGAATAAAATCAACTGCATTTCACATAAAAATGAACTAATATAACACTCTAAAAAAATATCGGTATGGATTTAACATCTCTGGTGTGGATTAAGTATCTGTACGATGTCTATATAATTATTATTGTGTTGGTGTTAATATCAACATCAACATGGTGTGGATTCAAATCTTTAGTGTTTATATCGACACCATTATGGTATGGATTTAAAACTCACGATGTGAATTTGAAACCCATGGTGTTAGTCAACTTTCAAAATTATAAAAGTATCAATCACTATACAATTAATAATTATATAATTATATTAAATTATTATAGAATTGTTATAAAATTTAAAAAAATATCAATTTTGAAAAAAAAGGGCTGAATGTTCCGGAAGATAGATTTTTATTCGCAAAGAGCACTTATTATGAATTCCACACACAATTAAATTAAAAAAGAATATTAAAATTATAACATATAAAACTAATAAAAATTTAATGATTGTTAACAAGTCAAACATATTATATATGCATTATACGTTAAGATCGTGATAAAACTTTTAAAGAGTTATCCGTCTATCTTTTCACATCCTTGAAATAATTGGAATCCAGCTGCGCAAGTTTTGAGAACCTTGTTACAAAAACATTAAAGTCATTAAACTGATATTTAATTATATATCTTGTTCCAGAGATTAAATTATTTTGGCAAGCAGTAAAGGCTTCTAGTAATGGCGTGAGTGTACGACAGAACTTTGTTTCTTCGTTAACTTCAAGTGACTCTACTTTAAGAGGAATTTAATTTGAGGCTTAGCTGTCGAGTTATCTGAAGTTTAAAATTAAAACATTGTAAAAACAGCTGGTGTACTGATCGAATTTTTGCAAGAAAAGAAAATCTCAAAATCCCGAATACTTACATTCAAGAAATGTGAAAACCCGAACAGCCCATTTTTAATCCTGCAAAATTGCGAAAAAATTTAGCCAACGCTATGGTCTCTTTTTTATGCGTATCTATAAATTTCACCGAAAAGGAACGAAATGGCCTACATCAAGATGTTCCTGGGTCGGGGGTTTGCGAACGTAAATATTCCTGCGGGATCGTTCGCCGGATCCTCGGCGGTCGTACCCAATTCGTTCCCCGCTTTCCGATGGGCGAAACGATGGTGTGATTTCGTAGGTCGCGCACGACCCGCGATTCAAGATGATAATTCAAGGAGTTCTGGAGCACCGGATGTAACCGGTGGAATCCCGATTCGCCCCTCGAGATGCATGAAATGGACCGTAGTAAGTCGCGCCGCAGCTCGAAGACAGGAGGTCCTATTCCCGCAACTTATCCCTTTCGCAAGTGAAGTCGCTTTAATGCGCGAACTCCTTAGCAAATCGCGATATCGGCAAATGACATTTCGAATCTCTGGGTTTACATCTAACAGGATATGGACACTTCCACCGATTCGCTATGAAAACGGATATTGATCGGATGATATTTTATTTTATTTTAAAGTATCGATACTTAATGGTATCGACATCACATGCAGTTGCGAGAAGAGCACAATCAATATCTCTGCTATAGTAAATTGATAAAGAAAACATCAATTATCGTATATCGATATTTTCTCTATCAGTTTTGCTATAGCAGAATTTCTTGTGTTTATCGTGACTGCAATATAATTATATTATAATTTTAATGTATTTATTTTCCTCTTTTGTATGTTTTATTTTATTAAAAAAAAATATAAATATGTCAAAATTAATATAATTATATCGTAGTTATGATAAGCATAAGAAATATCTCAGTTATAGTAAACTCTACCATTTTACAATTTTCGCAATTTTAACAAGACATTAATTACTAAAAATTGTTAAAAATTGGTCTTCAATAATTTTTTACTCAAATACTATCAACTTTACAGAAAAACTGCAAAAGACAAAAATTGTTTATTTTTTTCTCATAGAGCTCTAAGAATTTTTTCAGAATTTTTTATCAACTTTTTACTAGTGCATTTTTTTATTTTTACCAATATGAGAAAATACAGTATTAAAAAATTCTGAAAAAATTCTGAAAAAATTTTTAGAACTCTATGAAAAGAAAATAAACAATTTTTTCTCCTTCAAGTCTCTTATATTTTTTCTGTAAAGTTGATACAATAGTATTTGAGTAAAAAATTATTCAACCAATTTTCGGCAATTAATATCTTGTTAACTATTACGAAAATTGCAAAATTATGAAGAACTTTTCTCCTCAGTTTAGTTCATTCTGCCTCTGTGCGAAAGATTTATCGTTACTTTGGAACACCCTGTATATAATGAATATATTATATAATATATCACGAGATAAATAAAATAAAATATATATAAAGGAAGAGAATATATCAAAATTACGTTTTAATTCTATATTCTTACAGTCTCATCTATTCTAATTTCCTCCGTACTTTTTTCGTTTCTTCATTTTTTTTTTCGTTTATTTTATTATTCCACGTTTCTCGCCTTATTGCATGAGAACGACGATTAATCTTCGAGTGATAGATAACCGTACCGTTCGCTCTCAATTATCGCCTTTATTATCTTCACTATCCCGCGAACGTTTTTTCTGCACTCTCCTGTGTTTTCAATTCCCATGCTTCTTCTCGTTCATTCGACGTCGAATTTCCATCGCTGCCGTGCATCACCTCACGTCGCAGCGTTGCCCTAAAGAACGTGACAAACCGCCGACGAGAGGGCCAAAAAGCCACGGTGCGGCCGCGCGGAAAGCCAGGAGTGTCAACGGCAAACTGCGCGCGATTAATCAGCTGGGCCATTCATCTTAATGATCGCGCCAAAGCAAGCTCGTCCTTTCATGCCCGCGTGTACATACAACGCCGGTAGCGCGCGTGTCAGCAACGCGTACGCTTGCATACATATTGCCGGAGTTGCGCCGGCCGGTTCTGGCAACGTGTCAACTGCTCAAAAACACAATACATACAAACCGCTATTTGTTACCGGACACGGAAACGATACGCGCGGTGGTCAAGTTTTGTCATAATATATCACGATATCGCGCGTCTTAGTAAAAAAGAAATCCCGTTAATTGGTTAGCTCCGGTCTATTAAATCCTTGACACCGCGATGATATTACACCTCCAATTGTGTGTGACAAAGAGATTGTACTCTCGATTAATCACTTCTCACCTGTCGATAGCAGATTCGAGTTTG